CAATTTAATGAACATGATATTGGAAGAAGGCAGAGTTAGTGATACCTTTACTTATTGCTTAATCAAACTTAAAAAAACAAGGATCAAGGATCTATCGTAAACCAGAGGAAAAGGGATCGCAAGAAGAAGAGGATGGAGAGGTTTCGGAAGTGAAGCGAAGACGTTTTCAGTGAGAGTAGTCAGCTCGAATAAACAACTACAACTTAGGAGAACGACGTTGCACGTGACTAAAGAGAAGGATTAGGTCACATAAATTGGGCATGGTGACCAAATTGGTTAATAATTCAGTTGTGATGCAGCGGTCGACCAGAGGTAGATGTCCACAGTTTGCTCAGGGTACACGGGCTTAATCGAGGAGAGGATGCGTGAAGGTAATGCCTAATACCCGCAGGCATGCGAATCAGAGTTTAGGTGCTTTTAAGGTAAGACGACTTTGTACGTGCCACTGAAGGTTTGAGAAATGGCACTTGGAGTAAAAGTACGCTGGGGCTGTAACCGAGTGAAATCGGTCAGGCAGAAGGAGAAGAAACGGACCCACTGGCCCATGAGGCAGATCCTGACATGAGACGGGAGTGGGATCGGCCACTCGAAAGGGAGGGGAGCAAGGCGAAGAGCAGGTGTGATGGCGCCAAGGTAAATTCGCCGAAAGGGCGCATCTCTTGTGGAATATGAACATGTCAGAAGTTGTGAGAGGACGAGGACGAAAAAAAGAGTATAAAATGGATAGAGGGACCAGGACAAAACGAGGAGTGATGGCATAACCGTCTTGACAGAAAGTTAGTCAGAGGATTGATGTCACTTGCCTCTTTGACGAGTTGTAGCTTGGTTGCTAAGACTGGCAAGACCCACTGATGATGCCGGCGAAACGTCTGGGTATGAACCAAGTCTAAGGTACGACTCTGTATACTATGGACTCCTGACAAGGTGCGTTCTTCTGGGTCTTCCTAACAATGTGACCAGGTTGAAAAAACAAGGTTTAGTTAAAACTAGGCTCAAGGAAAGCATTAACAAACTCTACGAACTAATTAGAACCAAAACTAAACTTAGGCAATCCCTCTCTGAAGTATTGAATGATGTGGATTTCATTAAGTTACAAAACATGGCTGACGAATTAGGAGAGTCGACTGACAGAACTACTCGTCGGATACATAATAAGAAGCTCCGGAATTTAGGAATTAGAATTAGGTCGAAAAACTTTGCGTCTAAGTCAAGTCGTAGCAAAGTGAGCAAGGCTAAGGTAATAAATTTATCCAGTACAACTCTGGAGAATAGTGTGGCACTTTTATTGGAAAGAGGATTGAATTTTGCTCTTCCGAATAAGGTAAATAATTCTGAGGACATACTTGTTGAATTAATTAGCTTATCTGAAAGATTTCCCGAAGAGGTAAGGAATAGTATTGAACTGGAGGTGATGCCTCATTTTGACCATATAATAGCGCCAAAGAAATCTTGTTCTCTTAGTAGGGTTTCTAGATATCTCAGTGGTAGTAATCTAATCGTAATGAAAGCCGACAAAGTTGGAGCAGTGGTAGTTATGAGTAAATCAAGTTATGTAGAAAAGATGCTAGTTGATTTAAATGACAATGACATGTATAGACCTTTATTGAGAAATCCAACAGAAAGACTTAAGACTAGGATAAAGGATGCCCTTAAGGTATGCGTAAGTAATTGTGAAATGAAGAAGTGGAAAATGAATACACTACTTCAGAGAGATGCAAGTGTCGCCACGGCTTACGGTCTCCCTAATGTTCACAAAGAGGGTGTCCCTCTAAGATTAATTGTGAATAATAAAGGAAGCTTGGTGCAAAATATCTCACGGTTTTATGCATACAACTCTAAGGAAATCTGCCAATTATTGGCTATATTCAGTTAATAAGTCGTATGATTTTGTGAAATTGCTAGATCAACAGACAATTTCAGAATAGGATAGGCTAGTAAGTTTTGGCGTTGTGTATGTGCCCACAAACATTCCTGTCCAAGGAGCTATTCAAGTTCTGATACAAACTCTGGAGGAACATCCAGAAATAACACAAGGAATAAGGCTGAATGTAGCTTCCATTATCGGACTTAGTAACCCATACATAAGTACCACATATTTTACCTTTGATGGTAAGTTATACAAACAAACGCAAGGATTAGCGATGGCATCTTGTCTGTCTCCCATTTCAGCCAACAATTATATGGCAAGATTGGAGGAACACTTCCTGCAAGAGGCAATACTAACACCCAAATTGTAGGTTGGATACATAAATGACTATTTTTTCGTCTGGCCTCATGGTGAGGACAGTTTAGATAGTTTCCTGCTTTCACTCAACCAGCGTGAAAAGAACATTAGGTTCACGATGGAAATGGAAGAGAATAAGTCCTTACATTTTCTGGATGTTCTCATCATTAGAGAAAAGGCTAGGTTAGAAAGAGATGTATATAGGAAGCCAACATATGTTGGCTCTTTGCTTAATTTTTTTACCAGCCATAGTTACAAGACCAAGGTTGTAATTTCGAAGCCAATGATTCTTAGAAATATGAGGCTAGCGGATAGCAAACATTTGACTAGAGCTACAACGGCTAACAAATATATTCCTTAAAAATAATTATCCTTTGGGCCTTATTGGGAACAATATCTCCCTACTAAAGAATAAATTTTAAGACGGAGACCATTTAGTCAGAGAGACAGATTGAGACCTTTTCCCATGTCCTAATTTTGTTTGCTTATGTGGTCGATGTTATGTTGGTGAGACATGCCGACCTATTCCACAAAGATTCGTAGAACACAAAAATGCTTGCAAAGGTAGCTGGATCCAACGGTCAGAAATGGCCGAACACATGGTAGAAACTGGAAATGAAATAAAATGGTCTCAAACTAGTAGGTTTGCTGATTACGG